CGGGCAGCTGTGACGCTCCTAAAGGCCGGGTTTTTGACGTCACGTTAGTCATGACGTCACGCTGCCAAAAAATGAGTCAAAAAAAAGCAAAAGCCGGAGTTGTTGGAATCAGCAGCTGCTCTGCTAACGGCCGGAGAGCTCGGCTTGCTGACAAAGGGAGGTCACGGCCGGAACAAACCGTCCCTGCTCAGCAAATGTTTTCCTGCCCCGGGCAGAGCGTTGGGTTGATGGACACAGCAAAAATGAGGGGAAAATAAAAGGTTTTGGGTGAATTGGTTCTGCCCACGTGAGGTTTTGTGATTAAAAAAAAAGAGCAAATGTTGTTCTGGACAGTCAGCAGCAGCCACCATCGGTGTTTAAATGCTGCGTGTCCTTGGGAACCAAACCCACAGAAAATACAGATTTCAGGGATTCTGAGTGACCAGATTTTGTTTGGTTTTGGCACATTTCAGTTTGTCCTGCACTTCGCCACCTGCAATTTAAAAATCACTCTAAGCAAACGTGCTTAGATCAATTTACAGCCTTTCTTTACACCCAAATTAAAAGCATTGGCTTTAATTAATTTGGCATCACTGGTGTATTTGGGGTTTTTGAGGTATTTTGTGGAATTACACCTTGTCCCGTGCTAAGAAGGAGAGCATGTTCTGAAGGAATGGGTTAACTGGGTTAAGAATACAAAGAGAATCTGATTTCTTATTAAAAAAACACTAAATTACAGCAGGAGCCACTGTAGGTGGTGACAGCAGCTGCAGCAGGACCAGGTAATTAGAGAAAAAACAAGAATCTCTTCCAGATACCACCTGCCTACACTCCAAATTGTACCAAAACCTGTAAATCTGACACCAAATTCTGAGCACAGCCAGGAAGGTGAAATCTGTGGCAGAGCAGAGACTTCACAGGGTGAAGGTCCAGATAAAAGATGAAGGATAACAAGTACCAAGACCTCGCTCTGCTCTTTGAACACAAGGCAGGAGATAGTTTCCCTGTGTCTGTGCCAAAAACCAGTAATAAAAACCCAAACCCCAGAGGTCAAAGCTGCTGGAAGCAGGGTCTGTGCCATACTGCAGGGCAGGGAGCACCAGCACCACCCCAGAGGTCAAAGCTGCTGGAAGCAGGGTCTCTGGTGCAGGAACACCAGCACCATGCAGACTAAGCAGAACTGGTTTCAAAAGAAGCATTTCCATGACAGTTAAGTCAGGTGCTCCCAATTATTTTGAGAGAAGAAAAACTGGAAACAGATTGGGGAGCTGCAGCCAACGCAGCACAAACGTTTTCTGTCGCCTCGGCACAGCCTGGAGCTTTCTGGAGCCAGAGAAAGAACATTGACCCGGTTATCAGAAGCAATAATCACCCAAGGTCACCTTTGAAGCATTCATCTCGTTTATTATTGGCACTGCCTACAAATATGACTGTAAAACCCATCTGGTCATCGGTCTGCTTGGTCCTTTGAAAGGTGATGAGTGAGTTTTGCTGCTTTTATTAGTATTTTTTTAAAATAAAGTCTGTTGGCTGCTGCCAGAGCCTGGTGGAAGAGCTCCACCCGGTGGCAATCCATAAAGGCACACCTGGAGGCTCAGAACTGCTTCTCATTTCACCAGGAACTTTCAACTTCTAATATTTCACCTTAAATGAGGAATAGAGACCAGGAGAAAGCTTTGCCAGGCACTGCTCACAGCTCACAGCTGCAATTTCCTTCCCCTCTTGTCCCTAAAGAAACAAAACCGTCACAAACAAAAGAAAGGCTGAGGGAGCTGGGGCTCTTTAGCTTGGAGAAGAGGAGACTGAGGGGAGACCTCATTAATGTTTATAAATATGTAAAGGGTGAATGTCAGGAGGATGGAGCCAGGCTCTTCTCAGTGATGCCCAATGGTAGGACAAGGGGCAATGGGTGTGAGCTGGAACACAGGAGGTTCTGCTTGAACTTGAGAAGAAACTTCTTTCCAGTGAGGGTGCCAGAGCCCTGGGACAGGCTGCCCAGGGAGGGTGTGGAGTCTCCTTCTCTGGAGACATTCAAAACCCACCTGGACGCCTTCCTGTGTGATCTCATTGAGGTTCCTGCTCTGGCAGGGGGGTTGGACTGGATGATCTTTTGAGGTCCCTTCCAATCCCCACCATTCTGTGATTCTGTGATTAAAAGAACCTGCTCCTGCTCACGCTGGAGGATTGAGTTAACGATTGGACTCGATGATCTTTACAAGGCTTTCTCCAATCAAGGTGATTCTGTGATTTATAATTCTGTGATTCTATAATTTCTGCAGGATCTTGTTTCCACTCGTGGGGGAATCTCCTCTGGGCTCAAAACATCTGATGGAGAAATTTCCACGAAACAGGTCACCTTCCTGGTTCAGATGAGGCACCAAACGTTGAGCCTGGAGCTCGGACTCACAGGATTTGTCCCTTCAGAATTTTGTGTGACACAACCGTGGCCATTTCCCCACCTAACACTGACTTTGTGCTCTTTGAAGTGACAGTGAAGACGGGACGGTTGCGTTTGTCTTTTGGGACACAGGAAGGATGGATGGAAGTGATTTTTTTCCCCCTCTATTGTACCAATCCTAGGAAATTTCAGAGGATTCACCTGAAAGATTTCTCTGATGAAGAGTGATAAAAATTATTCACCACAAACAATCCCCTCTGGAACAGACATCTTGATTACAGTCCTGGATACGTGGAATTACAATCATCAACACCCAGGAAAGTTAAAATACACCCTCTGCCTCGCTGAAGACATTTTTACCATGTAAAAATGTGGCTCCTGAAGTTTGATTGTGGTTTATACAGCTTCAGAATTTTTTCCTTTAGATGCTTGGTAGATACCAATCAGGGAAGAGATGGTCCCCATGAGACCTACTAACCACGGAGGAAAACGTCCAGCCCACAGAAATCCCGGAGGCAGCCAGTGGATTGCGTTGGAGAGATCTGCCACGTCGGTCAGGATGCTCAACACTTCAGCCTTCACTTGGGCTTTCACCTCCTTCTGACTCAGAGGTGAGGACGTACTGTTGGAAGCAAAAGTTAACATCATTGATAGCCCATAATGTAATAATAATTAGCAACAGCTCATAAATGAGAACATATCTATCTATATTGGGGTTAAATTAGCTGTGTAGCCAAGGAGGGAGATCATACCACTTGTGCTGCCTCAGCTTTCTTCTCAACTGGAACAAGATTCTCAGGGACCTGAAAAGAAGATGACAGAGTTATTTGAAAAAAGACAAAGAGGCTGGATGAGGCTTTGAGCAGCCTGGTCTAGTGGAAGGTGTCCCTGCTGCTGGCAGGGGGGTTGGGACTGGATGAGCTTTAAGGTCCCTTCCAACCCAGACCAGTCTGGGATTGTGTGATGACAGGGCTCAAAGCCAAAACAATCCAAGATGTTCCTCTTCTCACCCAAAGCACTTTATGAATCTATTTCTCCTGCAGCATCACAGCAGAGGTTTTTCTCTACCATTAAGCACGTCCCTTCTGCAGCCGCGAGGGCCCTTCATTTTAACCCGATGACAGAGAACACGGTTCATTCCCTGTCCGTCCCCTCCCCACAGCGGCGTGCAGCACCCCGGGCAGCCTCACCGCAGGATGCCCAGGAGCAGGGAGACGGCCCAGAGCGCCGTGCTCAGCGTCCACCACTTCTGAGAGCCAACACGGATGATGCCGGCGTCAGCCGCCCACGCGACGTGCTCGCAGGGGTAGTAGAGCTGGTTGGCGAGATTGCAGAGCACCGAGAGCCCCCGGACCAGCCCGTCCTCGTCCTGCGGGGAGCACGGGAGGGGACACACCATGGCACCTGCAGCCTGCTCGGTGGCACTGCCGGTGCTCCCCCGTGCCCCGCGCTCACCTTGGGGCCCAGCCCGTAGC